CCCTCCTCCTCCTCTTCCTCCTCCTCCTCCTCCTCCTCCTCCTCCTCCTCCCCGGCCTTCCTCCGTCCTTTCCCCCTCCTCCTCGTCCTCTTGCTCCTCCTCCTCCTCCTTTTCCTCCTCCTCCTTCTCCTCCTCCTCCTCCTCCTCCATTCATGTTCCTTCCAGCCTGTGCTTCGGAGAGGCTGCAGCACCGCCCAACGATGTAGAATGCGCCTTCTCCTTCTCTTTGGCACTGCAGCTTTGGCTTCGGCCTCAGCTGAGGCGCACTTCGAAACGCGCTCAGGCCAGCTCATCCAAATCGGCGCTCCGCTCGCAGGGGTGCCTCCCTGCCGGCCCCGCTCCTCGTAAGTACTCCCCCCGTCGCCCCACCAGGTGTCCGTGGAGCGGGCCTCCCGCTTTGCCCATAACTTCTCCGTCGCCTACCAGTACACGTCGGACGGAAGAAGTAGGTAATTACTCCGACGGAAAGACCCCACATGAAAATCCGTTCGGCCAACCTGGAAAGAACCTGCACTGTCGTCTTCGCGATTAGTGAAGCGCCCTTGTTGTCTTCTCTGCGTCATTATCATTCTCGCATGGCGCAGGGCCCTCACCCGCTCCTCGCGTTGCCTTTGCTTCGGCCTCCTGCTGTTTGTTTCGTCACCCACCACCACCTCCTCTCCTGTCTATTACAAGAGCGCGCGCGTCAATTTTCCTCGACGCCGTCGCCGCCTCGACCAGAGCGGGCGCATTCTCGAATGGCCGCGTTGCGCGGCCGTTGGGACAACCCCACGGGCCAGACCGTTGGGGCAACCGCGCGAGCCGCTGGGGCGCAGGAGCAAGCCAGAGACAAGGGTTTCCCGGAGACAAGGGATTCCCCCTGCCCCCGCTTCGACCGAGGATGGGTTACCACCGCCAGCCCAGACACAAGGGTTTCCCCCTGCCCCCGCTTCGACCGATGGGTTACCACCCCCGGCCTGGACGCAAGGGTTTCCCCCTGCGCCCGGCCGCCGTCGTCGTCCTCACCTCCTGTTTCTCCTCTTCCTCCTCACCTGATGGGTCGGGCGAATCGCCCTGGGAAGGGGCTCCCGCCTGAGACTTCCTCACAATTCACTCACAGACGAGTCTCCCCGCCAGATACTTCCTCCAAATTCCATATTCAGGCCACGAGAGCTCAAAAGTGACGACGGTTACAAGGATGAGGATGACCCGCTCGGACTAGAAACATGAAGTGCGGGCCCCAGAGGGAGGGGGCTCCCGCCTGAGACCTCCTCACAGTTCACTCACAGACGAGGCTCCGCGCCTGCTTGTTTCCCAATATTCAGGCTTCAGGAGCCCAGAAGTGACGACGGTTACAAGGATGAGGGTGACCCACTCGGATGAAAAACAGTAAATGTGGGCCCCATAGGGAGGGGATTCCCGCCTGAGACTTCCTCAGAGTTCACTCACAGACGAGGCTTCCGCCTGATACTTCCCCCATATTCAAGCCTTAGGAGCCCAAAAGTGACGATAGTTACAAGGGTGAGGATGACCCGCTCGGATTAGAAACATAAAATGCGGGCCCCATAAGGAGGGGGATTCCCGCCTGAGACTTCCTCAGAGTTCACTCACAGACGAGCCTCCCGCCTGATACATTCCCCCATATTCAAGCCTGAGGAGCCCAAAAGTGACGACAATTACAAGGGTGAGGATGACCCGCTCGGATTAGAAACATGAAGTGCGGGCCCCATAGGGAGGGGGCTCCCGCCTGAGACTTCCTCACAGTTCACTCACAGACGAGCCTCCCCGCCAGATAGTGCCCCCTTATTTAGGCCTGAGGAGCCCTAAAGTGACGACGGTTAGAGGGGTGAGGATGACCCGCTCAGATTGAAAACATGAAGTGCGGGCCCCATAAGGAGGACTCCCCCCATATTCAAACACCAGGAGCCCAAAAGTGACGACGGTTACAGGGGTGAGGATGACCCGCTCGGATTAAAGACATTAAATCTGGGCCCATAGGGAGGGGGCTCCCGCCAGAGACTTCCTCACAGTTCGCTCACAGACGAGGCTCCCGCCTGATACTTCCCCCCTAGTCAGGCCTGAGGAGTTCCTGCGCGGGGTGTCCAGAGAAAATGAGGCTGAGTCATGAGAGAGAGTGAGTGATGTGCGATTGAGTATGATGATGATGATGATGATGATGATGATGATGATGATGATGATGATGATGATGATGATGATGATGATGATGATGATGATGATGGGAGTGGTGGTGATGCTGATGATGATGCTGATGATGATGATGATGATGATCGATGGCCGATGGTGATGATGATCGATAGTGAGTGACTGAGTATGATAATGATGATTATGATGATTATGATGATTATGATGATTATGATGATGATGATGATGATGATGATGATGATGATGATGATGATGATGATGATGATGATGATGATGGTGGTGGTGGTGGTGGTGGTAGTGGTGGTGGTGCTAATGGTGACCGATGGTAATGATGACCGATGACGGGGTGAATGCATGAGTGAGGCGGAGAGTGGGAGGGAGGTGAGGTTCCTGTGCGGAGGGTGTCCAGAGAAAACAAAAGCCCCACTTTGGATGTGGGGAAAAACATGAAGCAGGAAGGCGCTGGAAGTAGATTGGGCCTCCGCCCGCCGCCTGCAGGTGAGGGAAAAGGGAAAACCGCTTGGCTCTTGCAGTAGGAAGGCTCTAACGTAGAGCGGGATCCAGGAATCCAGAAGTGCCTACTGTCAACGACCGACGGGCAAGCTGAAAACACACATGGCTGGATTCGCATGTGGAACATCCGGAGGCCACCTGCTGGGCACGCGTGCGCAGGCTCGGCGTGCCTGGCCATAGAAGGGCCGAGCACTGGCGAGACATCTCGCCACGCAGCCAGCTCTCGCCCAAGCCCGCCGCGTGGTGTGCATCCAGCTTCCTGGCATCACCCTGACAAGGGACCAGACTCTATACACCGACGTTTTCTACGGCCACGCACTGAAATTCGCACAAGAAAGCGGATCCTGGTGTATACGGGATCCTGGTGTGTACATGTTTCGTTGCTTCCACGGGAAAAAGGGGAAAATAGTATACACCACGCCACTCCGACGTCGTCCCCGACCCTCACAAAGTTCTGGGACTGAAAAGCAGCCCGCCACTGATAATGTACATGTTCCAGTTTCCGACCTGAAGCTCGAGGCCCAACGGCCTGTGACAGGGAGACGCGAGCGGATCAGATCCGTGGCCGCCTCGGGGGTGCCTGACCGTAGCCGACGCGGCGCGGGAAAAAGTCGCAAACGGGTTGGGCACGCCGGAGAGCATGACGCGAACCCGCGTCGAAGCATCGACGGGAAGGCGGCGTCCTCGCGACGAGGCCACAGATGGCCCGCTCTGGCAGAGGCCTACCCAAGGAGGGGCCACGGCAGCCGGGGACAGAGGATCGCGCCGCATCGCCGGATGTATCGTTTTCGTCCTCCTCGTCCTCATCCTCGTCGTCGTCCTCGTCCTCCTTCATTTCCTCCTACTCCTCCTCCTTCTCCTCCTCCCCCTCCTCCTCCTCCTCGACCTCCTCCTCCTCGTCTTCCTCCTGCACGGGCCACGCCAGGTCCGAGAGAATTGGACTCCAGATCGCGCCGTGTCGCCGCTGCGCCGGCGATGCGGCGCGGTCCTCCGACCCCGTCTGCTCGGGCACCGTCTGGGAGGGCCAGGCTCTGGGAGAGACTGGAAGGCGGAAGACAGCGTCTCACCCAGGAGCGGAAGCCGGTCTGGGAGGCCTGAAAAAAAAGCTGCATGAGCTTGCTAATCGAGTCGGCAGCGGCACCGGGAGTGGACACGTACAGCCCGAGCCTCCTGGAACCCTGCCTCGATGTGCACGAGCCGGCCAAATGAGAGGAGGGCGAGGGTGGTACCAGGATGAGAGGGAGGAAGGGAGAGAGGAGGGAAGGGAGGGAAGGAAAGGAAGGGAGGGAGGGAATGGGGAAGGAAGAGTGCTATGCTCAAATGTTGCTGTGAACTCCGAGGCCAGTGCCAAAGCCGGACGGCCAGTCCACGTTCGAACGGGGTCGTCAGAACCGTGGAAACATGTCAGGATAGGAAGCTTCATCGTCTTCCTCGTCTTCTTCATCTTCAGCAGGGAGTCGACAACGACGACAGAGGTAGTGACGCTGGTGATGACGACCACGACAAGGACCTTGATGATCATGAGTATGATGGTACTTGCTATCATGATGATGTTGAAGAGAGGGATGCTGATGTTGTCGATGGTAATAGCAAGGATGAGTATGGTGATGATGATGATGATGATGATGATGATGATGATGATGATGATGATGATGATTATGGCGATGACGATGACGATAGCGATGACGGTGGTGATGCTGATAATGATGATTATGGTAAGTATGGTGAGTATGATGAAGATGATGATGACGATGGTGGTGATGATGATGATGGTGATGGTGATGATGAGGATGATGAGCAGGATGTTGATGATGATGTTGGTGATGATGGTGACGATGGTGTTGATGATGAAGACGATGATGATGATGACGATGCCGATAACGATGATGTTAAAGATGATGATGATGATGATGATGATGATGGTGCTGCTGATGATGCTGATGCTGATGGTGGTGGTGAGGATGGTGATGATGGTGGTGATGATGATGATGATTGCGTTGATCATGACTGAGATAATGATGCTGATGATGACGATGGTGATAATGCTGATAATGATGATGATGATGATGATGATGATGATGATGATGATGGTAATGATGATGATGATGCTGATGATGATGATGGTGGTGATGATGGAGATGAAGATAACGATGACGATGACGATGTCGACGACGATGACGGTGACGATGAAGATGATGATGCTGATAATGATGGTGGTGATGATGATGCTAATGCTGATGCTAATGCTGCTGGTCATGCTGCTAATGGTGGTGATGATGGTAGTGATGGTAAGTATGATGATGATGACGGTGATGGTGAAGATGATGATAACGTTGATGCTCTGATGATTATGATGATGATAAGTATAACGAGTATGATGAGTATAATGATGATGATGGTGATGATGATGGTAATGCTGGTGATGCTAATGATGATGACGATGACGATAACGATGGCGATGCTGACGACGCTGCTGGTAAAGATGATGGTAAGGATGCCGGTGATGGTGATGGTGATAATGAGTATGATGATGAGTATGCTAATGATGATGATGCTGATGATGAGGAGGAGGAAGAGGAGGAGAAGAAGGAGGAGGGTCGTGGTGATAACGATCGGATGAGAGGAGGAGGCGGAGGAGGAGGGGTGCAAGGAGGGGGGGAGAGGGAGGAGGAGGAGGGAGGAGGAGGAGGAAGGAGGAGGAAGGAGGAAAAGGAGAGATGAGGGGTAAGGAGGGGGAGAGAGAAGGATGACGAGGAGGAGGAGGAGGAGGAGGAGGAGGAGGAGGAGCGAACGTACCCTGTGGAGGAGGAGGAGGAGGAGGAAGAGGAGGAGAAGGGGGAGGAGAGTGGAGGGGGGAGGGAGAGGGGGGATGAGAGATGGGTGGGGGCAGGCCGCCTGGGCCCGCGGCCCGGCAGCGCCCCAGGGCCCGCGGCAGGGCGAGCCGCCGCGGTGCCCGACAGTCCTGCGGCCTCGGGGCGGAAAAGTCCAGACGAGTTCCTGTCGAATTCCTGGCTCTGCGAAAGTCGGGCCGGGCGAGAGGGGGGGGATAGCATCAGCTCGGGGGGATAGCAAAGGGGGGGGGGGGGATAGCAAAGGGGGGGATAGCAAAGGGGGGGGGGGAGCAAAGGGGGGGGGATAGCAAAGGGGGGGGGGGGGGGAATCGGCTCGCGCGGCTGATTTTCCCGGCGCCTCCCGGCGCCAGAGGCGGCCACGTATCGAGGAGCGGGCCCCTCGGCGGGGCCGAAACCAGCTGCGTGCAGCAGATTTCGTACCCCCCCCCTTTCCCAATCCCCCCCTTTCGTCCGGCCCGAGAGAGTCGGGGCCGCCCAGGTGGGGTCGGAGCAGGTGGGGTCGGAGGAACTCGCCGCATCGCCGATGCATCGCCGATGCATCGGCGATGCACCGGCGATGCACCAGCGATGCATCGGCGACGTCGGCGTGGGAAAATAGTGCCCCACATCGAGCCGCATCGCCGACGCATCGGCGATGCAGCGCGGTCCTCCGGCCCCGTCCACTCCGACCCCATCTAGGAGGCCTAGGGAAAGTCGGAGGAGGGCCAGTCGAGACGCCGGCGGGCCCTCCCTGGCGCACTTCGCCCCCTTTGGAGGGCCTCCTGCAGGCTCCTCGTCGCCGCGGCCGGATCCGCCGCGGAGCACTGGTCAGGATGTCCTCCTCCTCCTCCTCCTCCTCCTCCTCCTCCTCCTCCTCCTCCTCCTCCTCCTCCTCCTCCTTGGACCCCGGGAGGGATCCGGAGACCGACTCTGAACGGATCAGGGCCGCGCGGGAGGGCCGCCGGTGTCTCAACTGGCCCCTCCTCCGAGAAAAGGGCGGCCCGCATGGAGAGACGCGTACAATCCCATCCTAGCGAGGCGCTGGTGCAGCTGCAGAATTGTACAGGCATCGGGAGAAAGGAGGAAGAGAGAGGGAGGAGGGAGCAGGAAAGAGGGAGGGGGTGGAGGCAGCAGCACGCGACCAGTGCACCCGTAGCTATTCGCGGCCGAAGCAAGCATATGTTGTAGCCATGGGCCACGATGACACGAGAGTGTTAAAAAGCACAAACGAGTTTCGCTGAAGCAGTTCTATAGTCTATCATACCTATAGCCGACAGCGGTAGAGTCAAGCGCCACTGCCCGACGTCCAGTCGGAGGCTCCGCCCCAGGCGCACCACGCCATGTCAGTCAGCACTCCCCTCGTCGCTCCTCCGGGGAACCCGCTGCCTCCCTCTCCCCCCGGCCGTGATTCGGAGCAGGGGCGGCGCTCCGAGGCCGACTCGCCCCATCCCACGCCGCTCGCTGCTGCCTGGGTGGCGCGAAGCACTGCTGAGCCCTCGCCGGCGAGACAGGTACCATCTCCGCTGGCGCGATGGGCTGCAGGGCTAGGTCGAGCCTGTCCCCCTACAGGGGGATTTTCGACGAAAAATTAACCAACAAAAAAAACAAAAATAATCAACAAATTGTCCAACAATAGTCTGGGGACTGTTTTTCCAGTATTTTTTGATCTCTTTGGGGGTATCTTTTAATTTTTCGTCGAAAATCCCCCTGTAGGGGGACACGCCCGACATAACTGCAGGGCTGCAGGGAGAAGAGGAGCCGTCGGCGAATCGCTCGCGCTGCGGCTCGGCCACGCCGCCGCCACGCCGGCAGCAGGGCAGAGCTGGCACACACCCACGTGCAGCTCTGCACAGCCCGGCTGCGCGGCCGCGGAAGCAGACTGGAGCGGGAGAGAGAGAGGCCCTTGCTTGGCGGACGCGTGGTGGTTCGGGCGACGAGCGATGGCGTGAACTCCAGCCCTGCTCCCAACGCTTCCAGACGATGCAGGCTCGTGTGCATCGGATGATCCCAGAAGGGTCCCAGCTCGGGCCGGCGGGGGCTTGCCAGCGATAGGGGCCTCAGGCGCCTGCAACGGGCAGGGCCTGCTGGCTATTCAGGCATAATTACGTGCTTCTGCGAGGGACAGGACCTGCTGGCGATAGGCATCGGGCGGGGGCGGGGAAGCCCCCGCCTGGCGATGGCGTGTCGTCGTCGTCGTCGTCGTCGTCGTCGTCGTCGTCGTCGTCGTCGTCGTCGTCGTCGTCGCCGCCGCCGCCGCCGCCGCCGCCGCCGCCGCCGCCGCCGCCGCCGCCGCCGCCGCCGCCGCCGCCGCCCAAAGGGACTCCTGCTTGGCATCTGGTACGTTGGGCATGAGGCCCCGAGCACCTGCGGTGCGCCACAGGCTGCGCACCACGAGCTGCGCCATGAGGGCCTCGAGGTACCGCAGGCTGTGCCCACGTGGCGGGCTCGAGAAACCCTGAACCCAAAGTGCTGCCATCTCTTGGGGCGACACCTTTGACTTCCGACGGCTCCCGCCGGCGGAAGGGGCCTCGCTCTGCTTCCGCCGCCCTGCGCCGACCCTCCGCCGCTCCCCGCCGAGGAAGCCACGGGAGCTCCCTCGGCCCCCGCAGGCGGCGCCCTCCCTGGGAACGCCGCAGGCGGCGTGCCCACAGCCCGTGCCCACGGGCTGCGCCACGGGGTGCACCCACCGGCCGTGCGGTGGGCCGTGCGTGCGGGCCGAGGCGCCGCGGGGCGCCGTGGGCCGCGCCCAGGGGCTGCCGCCTGGGCTGCGCACGCTCGCCCCCGGGGGCCTCCGGGTGCCACGCGCTGCGCCCAGGGGCTTCGCCGCGAGTTCTAGGAGGAAAACAAACCTACCTCGCTTTTGACCACCCTCGCTTCCAAGAGATACCAAACGATGCCAAATTGCAGCCTGTACTGGTCAGGCCGCTTGACGAGGAGGCGCGTGGTATGGCTTGGTTTTGCCTGGAAGCGAAAGCGGGGGAGGTAATTCACGCTCTGAAGTTCCGCCCGCAGGCTGCGCCCATGCCTGGGGACCCTCGGGGCGGCATGCACACTGCGTGGAGCAGTGCCTGCCGGCGACGAGATCTCCCTGCGCGTCTTTCACGGCTCGGGCCTCCCCAGCGCTCAGGACGCGCTCCTGCGGCGAAAGGGGCCCTGCCAGCGACAGAGGCCGTGTGTGCCACGCCTGCTGGTGCTGGTGGCAATCTTTCGGCCACCCTGGAAGCCCGACTATTACACCCTGCTAAATGCTTAAGAAATCATGGGTTAAGAAATTCATGGTCTCAGAACTCGAATGAAAACCCAAAGATTCCATTCAAATCTTAGGGTTTACATGGAAACGTTAAGAATAATCGAGACTCTGGCCGAAAATTCAGGTTTTCTTAAGCATCGCCTAAGGTGTACCATCGTCACCGAGATTGGGACCATCCTCCCTCGGTGGGGACACGCCGCCGGTATTGGTGATGGCGTCCACCTCGAGGTCTCCGATGCTGCGTGCCTCCGTTGGAGCTGCACGTCCGACCCGAGCACACAGCACAGAACCTTGTGGTGAACCTCGCTTCCCGGGCGGCTGATGGCCGGAAAGCGCCCGCCACGGAGCGTGTGCTGGAAGCTTTCCCAGCGTGCGCGTCGCCTGTGCGGGGCCGGCGCACATATCGTATGGGTATGTTTGGGTGGGGCCGAGTGGGGGCCCCAAGAGGCCCCCAAGAGGCCTCCGAGAGGCCCAAAGAGGCCCCCCAAGAGGCCCCAAGTGACCTCAAAACGGCCCCCAAGAGGCAACAGAGAGGCCTCCCGCGACAGCCCGGCGAACATCCTAGAGGCCTGTGACACACAACCCAGGCACGGTGGCGGAATAGGCCGAAGGCAATGAGAGCCGCCGCCCCCTGTTGATTCATCACAGGGGTGCCCAGCGTGCTGAATCCTTTCGCTTTTGGTTTTGGTCCCTTCTCCAAGAGAACTCCCCCTGGCGCTTCGGCCGAGCCCGCTGGGGTCCTGGAATGGGCCAGAAAGGGTGGTTCCAAAATTTGTCCTGCTCCAGATGGCTCCAAGATGGCTTCCAAGATGGCCCAAGATGGCCTCCAGGTTCGCCCAAGATGGTCCAAGATGGCCTCGAAGACGGCCCAGGAAAGTCCAAGATGCCTCCAGGTTCGCACAAGAAACGTCTCAGACGGCCAAAGACGGCCCCAGAGGCCTCCAAGAGGCCTCCAAGACGGCCCAAGAGGCCTCCAAGAGGTCCTCCACGAGAACCCGAAGAGGTCAAATCAATGTATTCCTAAGGTTTTTGAAGGATTCTGGCTTTTGTTATTTTCGAGCCTTCCGACGGCTCACGACGGCCCAACAAGGAGCCCGAAAGATCGCCCCCATAGCGTCCAAGAGGCCTCCAAGATGGCCCTATGACGGCCCAAGAGGCCCCCAAAACGGCCCCAAGAGGGCGCCAAGAGGCATCCGAGACGGCCAAGATGGCCTCCAAGACGGCTAAGATGGCCCCAAGATGCCTCCAAGACGGCCCAAGATGCACCCAAGACAGCCTACGATGGCCTCAAGATGGCCCACGACGGCCCAAGAGGCCTCCAAGAGGCCTCCAAGACGGCCCAAGAGGTCTCCAAGAGGCCCTTCAGGAGGGCCCGAAGAAACCAAAATCATTGACTTTTCCGGAGTGTTTGAAGGAATTTGGCATTTGCTCTTTTTCGGCATTCCGACGGCTCAAGACGGCCCAAGAGGCCCCCAAGATCGCCCCAAGATCGCCCACGACACCTCCAAGATGGCCCCATGACGGCCCAAGAGGCCCCCAAGACGGCCCCCAGGGGGCCGCAACGGGCCTCCAAGACGGCCAAGATGGCCTCCAAGACGGCTCAGACGGCCCAAGATGCACCCGAGATGGCCTAAGATGGCGTCAACATGGCCCAAGATGCCTCCAAGTTCGCACAAGAAACCTCTCAGACGGCCCAAGACGGCACCAGAGGCCTCCAAGAGGCCTCCAAGACGGCCCAAGAGGTCTCCAACAGATCCTCCAGGAGGGCCCGAAGAGACCAAAATCATTGACGTTTCCGGAGTGTTTGAAGGAATTTGGCATTTGCTCTTTTTCGGCATTCCGACGGCTCAAGACGGCCCAAGAGGCCCCCAAGATCGCCCCAAGATCGCCCACGACACCTCCACGATGGCCCCATGACGGCCCAAGAGGCCCCCAAGACGGCCCCCAGGGGGCCGCAACGGGCCTCCAAGACGGCCAAGATGGCCTCCAAGACGGCTCAGACGGCCCAAGATGCACCCAAGATGGCCTAAGATGGCCTCAACATGGCCCAAGAGGCCTTCAAGAGGCCTCCAAGACGGCTCAAGAGTCCCCTTAAAGGTCCTCCAGGAGGGCCGTCCAAAGGCCAAAATCATTGACTGTCCTTTGGTCTTTGAAGGTTTTTGGCATGTCCGCCTGTTCGGCCTTCCGACGGCCACTGAGACGGCCCCAAGAGTGCCCCTAGACGGCCCAAGATGGTCCAAGATGGCCTCCAAGATGGTCCAAGAGGGTCCGAGATAGCTTCCAAGACGGCCCAAGAGGACCCAAGATGTCTCCAAGACGGCCCAGGATGCGCCCAAGACGGCCAAAGATGCGCCCAAAACGGTCCAAGATGGCCTTAAAATGGTCCAAGACGGCCCACGACGCCCCCAAGGGGCCTTCAAGACTGGCCAAGAGGCCTCCAGGACGTCCTCCAGGATGGCCCGACAAGGCCAAAATCAATGGTTTTCCCAAAAGTTGTTAAAGGATTGTTTGGTGAACTTGAGGGTCATCTTGGACTACCTTGGAGGCCATCTTGAGCCATCTTGGGGAGTGTTTTGCGGACGTTGAGGTCGGCTGCGCGCCTTGCGGGGGTCGCATAAACGACCTCAACGTCCCCAAAAAGTCACCCAAGACGGCTCAAGATGGCCTCCAAGACAGCCCAGATAGCCCGAAGGTGGCCTCCAAGTTCGCCCAAGGTGGCCTCAAGATGTCTCCAAGACGGCCTAGATGCACCCAAGACGGTCCAATAGGCCCCAAGATGGCCCAAGACGGCCCAAGATGGCTCAAGAAGCCCCCAAGGTCGCCACAAGATCGCCCAAGAGGCCTCCAAGATGGCCGCATGACGGCCCAAGAGGCCCCCAAAACGGCGACCTCCAAGACGTCCAAGATACTCTACAAGACGGCCCTGAAGCGCCCCAAGAGAGCCCCAAGTCGGCTCAGAGAGGCCCCCAAGACAGCTTCCGACGGTGTCAGACGGGTCGGGAACGCCCTAAGACTGCCAAAGAGGCCCCCAAGGAGCCCCCAAAGGTCCCCAAGAAGCCACCAAGAGGCCCAGGGAGGCTCCTAAGAGGCCTCCAAAAGGCTCCGGCTCCGAGGAAGCTCCACAGAGGCCTCCCAAGAGGCCTCGCAAGACGGTTCCCAAGAAGTCTCCGCCTCCTCCTACTCCTCCTCCTTCCCCATCATCCTCATCCTCATCCTCATCCTCCTCCTAATCATCATCCTCCTCCCTCTCCTGATCCTCCTCCTATTGCTCCCCCACGCGCTCCCCGAAGGCTTTCCGAACCGACTCGGGGAACAACTGGCCCGATAGTCGGCCAAGCTCTCGCCCAGCTGTCGGCCACATAGGCGCTTCCAAAGGGGCAGGGGGCGGCGATGACTCGCCGTAGGCGTCTTCGATAGCATGGCGTCTCCGATGCACCCTCCTCCTCCTCCTCCTCCTCCTCTCTCCATTTCCTCCTCCTCCTCCTCCTCCTCCTCCTCATCCTCATCCTCCTCCTCCTCCTCCTCCTCCTCCTCCTCCTCCTCCTCCTCCCCCTCCCCCCCTCCCTCCCTCCCTCCCCCCTCGCCGTAGGGTACAATCGGACCCAGGCCAGAAGAACATCCCTCAAGAACATGAGACCCCCCGTCGGCCAAAACAATCAGAACATCCAAGGGTACCCTCCCCTGGATGCAGAAGAGCCTCCAACAAACACGAAGAACACTGGGGCACCCTCCCCGAACTGACCTCGATCTTATACCGCGGTCCG